CATTACTATTTGTTTATTATGTAATATAAGGCACGCTTGTGTTTCTGTGTGTGGCCAAGCGATGATATTTCATTGCCAATTTTACTTATGTCTCTTTGAGCAATGACAATAAAGTAAGTCTTAAGTCTAAATCTAAGATTAGTAGCAGTGTAAGATGTCCTGTTATTATTTGAGCACAATTTGACTGTTCTATAATTCAAACTTTGCAGTTGTAAAATCACATATTTAAGTGTTGTACCATTATATTCCTGCCTCAATTAGGTGGCGACTCTGAAAACCAGAAGAGATGGACAGCAATTCAATCTCTGAACCCAAGTCCAATGGAGTGAAGAAAGGAGGAGCCAGGATCATTGTGGATGACAATGACGAGGGTCTCAGGTAAAGACCAAACAGGGCCTTTCATCTGAAATACCTACACTATGATGAGATGTTTGAAGTGTTGATAAGTTCTCTGTGTTTCAAGTCCAACCGACCTGTCTGAGATGTTAGCCGAGGGCACCAAGGAGTCCCATGATCGAGCAGAGAACCATCAGTTCGTCAAAGATTTCCTCAGGGGTCGCATCATCAGGGATGTCTTCAAGGTTGGCTAAAAGAGTGCATATAGTTGACATGTTCAAAATACACAGGGTCCTGTGACTGAAAATGGTTGTACTTTCCTTCAGAACCTTAGCCGGGGTATTTCTATTGTTTACCACTTCTGCAAACATAAATATTTGCATTTCAGATACAGAACTTATTAAAATTGTCATTGCATACGGTTGTTCTGAGATATGTGCAAGTTTAAATACCAATAGCTCCATCAAACTGGTTTACCGAACAAAGATGGAGATCAATTGTCAAACATTTGAGTTCTGGAAACTCAGATGTTTTGGTTCGTTTAGGGAGGTGTGAATGCGCAATCAAACTCTGGTGCGCCTTCACACCTAGGTCTTGGTTCGGTTGAAATGAACTGTGGTGCGGTTCAATGGCAGACTGGAGACTTTCTTTTGCTCTTGGAAGCTTTGTGGATAAATACAACCAAAATAATTGCGCAGGTAGCAGGAGAAATTGGTCGTGGACTTTCACCAAAGACACAAGAGAAATCCTAAAATCTGATACCACTTCATTTTTGTTTGTGTTTTGTGAAGAATGAGGTTGTGCTCATGTCTTCTCCGGAGGTTTTTGTGTCATTTCCTTCAGTGTTTTTGGTACCACAGGCCAGGAGGTGAACACATTTTCCTAGGGTTTGGATAATTTGCCACAATGCAGTGTGAAAGTGAACCATACCACTTTCAATAGCAATTATGGTCCCCAATCAAACCTGACAGTCTGTTGGACTACCAGGCTGGAAAACACACAGAGTTTTAAGCAATTGTGCACTTTCTTTTTTGTCTCTCTTTATGTTCAATCAGAGAGCCACAGCAGCTTTGTACTTCGTCTATTCAGCGATGGAGGAGGAGATAGAGAAGAATAAGGATCACCCTTACATCGCTCCGATCTATTTTCCTGTGGAGTTGCACCGTCGCGAGGCCCTGGCCCGGGACCTGGAGTATTTTTATGGAGCAGACTGGGAGAGCCAAGTGAGCACATGTCACAGTTACAGTTTACTCTCTGTGTAGTGTGTCGCATTGTTTTCAGTGAAGGAACATTAATTCTCTGCAACAAATTGCGTTGCTATCAGGAAGCTCTCACCAATGAAGAGCAAACTTGTCACGGCGGCATTCTCTCCGGCAGATAAGCCTCTCTGCCGGCACCAAGCCTTACGTGAACCGGATCCACGAGGTGGGAGAGGCAGACCCGGTTCTGTTGGTGGCCCATTCCTACACCCGCTACATGGGGGATCTCTCAGGAGGACAGATCCTGAAGAAAGTGGCCCAAAGGGCCCTGAAGCTGCCTGCATCGGGAGAGGGTCTGAACTTCTACCAGTTTGAAGGAATCACCAGCCACAGAGGCTTCAAGCAGCTTTACCGCAGCAGGATGAATGAGCTGGAGCTGGACCTGGAGGCCAAACAGAGGATTGTAGATGAGTCCAACAGGGCGTTTGGGTTCAACATGATGGTGGGTGAGCAGGACGGTTCCATTGAAGCTGTAACTAGGAGGCTGAATTTAATGTGGGGATTGTTAATTCTTTAATCAGGTCTTCTCAGAGCTTGAGGAAATTAGAAACACCATCAAAGAGGAAGTCCAAGAGGGCGACTTTGGGCATGGTCATGGAGAGCTCAATAAAGACGACGATTTCAACAAGTGCCCGTACTATGCAGCTAAAATGGGTAAGGTGCCTTTGCTGTTCTTTAGTGTAAATTGATAAGACAGCCCAATAGAAATCACCACCCTCCTTGTGTCATTTATTGATTCCCTTCTTCAGTCCTCCCACACTATGTCTTACATCCTATGCCTTCCCTCTTTTTCTACTTCCTTCCTTGTGTCCTTGTTGCACACATACTTGAAACTTGACCCTCGTAAAAATATCTGTTGTTTTCAAATGGCTTCAGTTTAACTCAGAATTCTCAAAAGGGTCTAAAAAATGTCTGCATGTTTTAAAGCAAATGTATAGTAACCCTGTTTTTATTCATTCAAAAGTGAATGCTTTTGCAGAAAGTTAACACTGCGTATCACTGAGCACACCATCTCACATGGTAAAACGTGACGGCAGCATCATGCTGTGGAGACGGAAAAGTTAAAGGCGTATTGAATGTTGACAAGATAGTTTGAAGTACTAAACAATGCGAGTGTCAATGTGGTTTATTCCTCCTTAATGCGGATTAGATTTATTGTTCAACCCAATGCTGAAGTGATGTTGGATGACTAAAACAGTCGTTTTATTTACTGGTTGGTGGAAGAACTATTACATAAAAGGTTCTTCATTTACTTGACATTTTTGAACTGTCTGTTCTCCGTGCCTAACCTTCCCCCTCTCCTCTGTTCAGCTGCAAATGGGAATCCAACCTATGCCTTCCAGTTAGCCAAGACGCTTGTGGGACATCTGCCCTGCCAGGTGGCGCTGGCTGCCTGGGTTGCCATCTTCGCTGGCTTTACAGCCTGGTACCTTCTGTAAGCTCAGGCAACTTCAGCCTTTAAAAAAAAGTTCAGGATAAAATGGCTGTTTAAACCATGTTAAATTTAGTTGTGTGAACTCAAGTTACTTTTTTGTTTTGTTTTTTTGAGTGGCTTCACTTGTAGGAGTGGAGTTAGTCTAAGAAGATATTACACGTCACATGACAGTGAGATCTCCCTCCATGGTGCTTTGTTTTTGTTTGTTTTTTTAGATCCTGCATTCTGTGGGCATGAGAAACTTTGTGATCTAGAGAAAAGCTAAAAGTTTAAACTTGTGACATATCATCCAAAATCATAAACTGTATTTAATGCAAACTAGTTGTGGAATAATGAAGAGTGATATGTTGTTTTTAAAAAAATGCTCTGTGCACATGGGTTTGCATGTGTAAAAGTAAAAATCCTTAAATGCCACTACAGCGACATGCACATTATTTCTTAAAAATTATGAGTGACTAATAGGATTTTTAAATATCCAAGAATTTTCATCTTCATACTATTTATTTTCAATAACAGTCTGTGCAAACAATATGTGCGATCGTACATTCACTTCATTTTCATCAGTCCGGTCCTACTGTCCTATCGCTTATGCAAGCAACTACTGAAAGCTTCCGAAAACTTTCTCAAAGCCTTGTTTATCCACGACCCGTCCGAAACGAGTGGAGAAATAAAATGTGTCTGGACTGCTGAATCTCTTCAGTTTCAGGATCGTCTCACTTGCAGAGTCTCCAGTATCCGCAATGGTCATAACGTCTGACACAGGAAGGTAGATGTCTTGACGCTTGCCCCAGAAAGTGAGGTGAGAAACTTTGAGCGTGGTTAGGGATGTGTCCAGGTACATCATTCCTGCAACTCTTCTGAAGAGGTGACTGGCAATGTAGAGCATGCCACCAGCAAAAAGAGCAATCCCAGTACAGTAGCTCACTTGAAATAGGGAGACAATTCCTTGGAAGTAGAAGTAGTACATCGGGGGCAAGAGGACCAATGTGAATGCAGTCTGAAACAGCTTGAGCCTGGACACAGCTCTCAGGAGCCTCATATGAGGCAGGGTGTAAATCATAGAGTATTTCTGCGCTGATAGGTCAGAGTATCTGACCAGGGTTGTGATTTTTGGCGTCAGGGTTCCACGACAACACGGAGTGGGAGCTGAACGAGACTGAAAACAGCCTGAGAGAAGAAACGATCTTCTGGTGCAGGTCAGGGCCTGAGAGGTGACTCTGGTCAGAAATATCGGTCTGAGCTGTGAGAAAGAAACATTTATTAGAGGAAACTGCATAGCCCAATTGTGAAAATGGCCGATTTAAAGCAAAACCTTCTCAAATGAACAGCAGTCCTTGATAGTAGCTAGTAGCTTGTAACCAACGCTGATTTTTAAATCTCTAAACCTTCAGGGGAACATTACTTGTTTTACTTGACTGTCAACGTGCACTCATTTTACGTTATGGTACACAAACATCAAGACAAGAGCTAGAACAATTATGAAGCATTCGATAGAAAGGCAAACTTATGTAAGCTGCACTTGTGATTATGAGTGAGATGCTAACCTGGAGCTAGCAAATAAACTGGATTTTACTTTTAGTTGCTAATTAAATAAAATAATATAAATGCCTCACCATGATGCTCATCGAGACTGACGAGTGAATTTATTTTAAGAAAAATGAAAATGTAAAACAAAAGAAGAAGTGACCAAAGTCAACCTGGGTAAGCTAGAAGCAGGCTAATATGAAGCTACCCTACAGACCGACCCGGAAGAGCTTAACAAAACAATCCGTCCTTGATTATCCAAATATTTTTCCCCTTTATGGGTAAAATGGTAAAGACTTAAATTCAAAAATGTATTCGACATTGTCTGCTTTATTATTGCAGCATTATTCCAAATATAAAATTATATAACAGGCTAGCGCGGGTAGCACGGAAGTGCTAGACGGCCACATCCGCTGGTAGGTGCAACCTCAAAAGTGTTCCGCTTGCCCATCCAACCGGGTTAAATGTCCCACCGGCTGACTGCTTTCGTTTATATCGCTCTAAATCTTATCATGGACATTTCTGAAACGCTATGCCGTATGAGTGGAATATAGTCATGCGCCAAGCCGTGTTTTAGGAAAATGTCCGCTGCAGGACAATAAATGTCACATTCAAGGGCGACTGCCTCTGCAGTTTGAAGCCAATTTCTTCTTTCCGAGGACACGAAACCGGGGAAGAAAGGAGAACCACCATGCTGCAGCTGGGAGATGAAGTAACCATCTACTCGCTGGTCTTCGTGTTCGTGCTGCTGGGAACCCGGAGCCCCTTGTGGTCCACCGCCCTCACGACCTCCCTCTATCTGTTTGTAGCCATGTTCCGGTTTCCACCGTTGGCGGTCAGCAGGGCTCGCCAGGTGCTGAGCCCCGTAGCGGGAAAGATATCCGCGGTCGCTCACCGAGGCGGTGGACACGACGCCCCGGAGAACACGATAGCAGCCATTCGGGAGGTGAGAGACAAGTAAATAAATAAATAAAAAAAAAAAAGAAAGACAGGACTCCCCACTGACCTCCAGTCTGTGAAGGAATTTGTTTTTAGGGAAAACTCCGCCAATTAAAACTGTGGTCTTACTGGGTTTTATTTATGAGTATCAGAGTAAAGAGGGCTCACTGCAATTGTTCGTAATGCAATCGTTGCAGATTTTATGACACATAAAGATTTTGCAACCTTGAGATGTATAGTTCTTTCTCCATATGAACTTACTTCCCTGTTATTTGTGACGTAAGCAAAGTTTTTCCCAAACTTTGCAGTTTTAACCAACTTGGTCACCAAAACTGGAAGTGAGCTGAACTTTTTTTATTTATTTATTTACTCGTTTTTTAATCACAGATAAACATTTCAAAATATGTTGAACAATATAGATTGAGTCAAACATTTAATTTTTGCATGCTCTTGAGGTTTTTCCATTGCCTTAAACTTATTCTCCAAACTTCTTTTTAAAGTGTGACTTCAGGAAAAAAAAAAAGTCTCCTCATTCTTTAGTTTGACTTTTCAAACAAACTTGACTGCGGAACAATTGAATTTGCTGTTAAATTGGATATGGTTGCCCAGCATTGAACCTCACATTTGCAAGACCGATTGATTCCTATCAATAAAAGTTCCTATACATTCTGACGCAACAGTGACACCTCGTGGCTCAACTCGTCTCCTACATGTGATTTAAAAGAGCTTCCAGAGAAATTGGATGTAGAGATAACTTTTTTTTTTTAATGAGTTTCGTCATGTTTTTTTTTCTGAAAAACAATGTTCTTTTGAATGTGTGCGTTTCTTCCTCTGCTCATAGGCGAGTAGGAATGGTGCGACTGGTGTGGAGTTGGACTTGGGCTTCTCTGCAGATGGGATCCCCATCCTTATGCACGATGACACCGTGGATCGGACCACCAACGGTTCGGGCCCACTCAACAAGATGAGCTTCTCTGAGCTGCGCAAGCTCGACGCGTCCGCCAAACATCGATTCAGGTGAGGAACGGAGTGCGGAAGAATCTAATCAGAACATAACTCCTTGTTTCTAAAGCCTGACTTCTGAATGAGCTCTGCTTTTCTCACTAGGTCCAAGTTTGTTGGAGAGAAGATCCCAACTCTGGAAGAGGCGGTGAAGGAATGCATCAAGCTGAAGCTCACGGTCTACTTTGATGTCAAAGGTCATCCAGACGAGGTGCAGCCAACAAAGCCGACAAACAGAGTTGATGATGTGCAGCCGGTCAGCTGGTTGTATTGATTTAGGTGAAAGTGCAAAAAAGGATGTTGGGCCTTTCCTGTGCGTTGCAGAAATATTCCCACCTCTCTCAAACGCTTCCACATTCGGCCCCTGCGATTTATATTATTGGAATGTTTTGTGTAATAGGTTGAAGTAAAGTGGAAAGAATAGTTATGAGCTTCTTCGTGTCACTTTTGTAAGGCACTGTAACACGAGGTCCAACAATGGAGACGATGGTTGAAATGAAACCTTTATTAAAAACTGATACAGATTTAAAGGCTTCATCAGAACAACAGAGAATAAGTGAATAATTAGATATGACACAAATACAGCTTTTTCCTCAACATTTAAATATACTATGATAACTCATATAGAGCAATAAAGATACAATTGAAGCTTATTGAGTCTTGTCACACTTGAGTTTTGAATTAATACTGAAGGTGTTAAATTTGTTTAAAAAAAGAAGGAAAATTTGATGTGATTTTCCATTATTATTATTATTTTATTAAGTGTGTGAGAGATGGAAATGTGTTTGGCCAGACGTCTCTGTGTTACCAGTTTGTATTCAGGCTTTAATAACTAAGTTGGTTGATGTAGTGTTGAATGTTTTCAGTTGATTTTTTGTTTTGGTTGTGACATTTTTTCAGTGAAGGACCCACAGCGGTGTGTCTGTACTCGCACCATGTGGTTGTTTGGAAACAGAACAAACAAAAACACTCACTGCAAAAAAAAGAAACAAACTGCCTGACCTTCTGCACCCCTCTTGTTTTTCTCCCCATCCAGTCAGCTGCAGCGCTTAAAGACTTGTACAAGAAATATCCGGTTCTCTACAACAGCAGCATCGTCTGCTCCTTCCAACCCAAAGTCATCTACAGGGTAAGAGCGCGGTTGATCTCCGGAAACTTTGAAGCCGAAGGTTTAAAGTTTCTGCAGGGTCACTCAGCGCCGCTTCATATGCTTTCCGTAGTTATAACCAACCCTTACATGGCGACACAAGTTCCCAAAAGATGACATTTGTCGTTCTTGTGTTGCCTTAATCTGTTTTCCATAGAGCGACGTTTGCTTTGCTGCGAAACGTTGCAGTTGCACAATCGAGATCAAATCCATCCCTCAGAAACGAGTTTCCACTCGCACTTACCTGTGAGGGCATCACAGAAAGCCTCAACTCTACTCGACCCGAGTTGGTCTGAGCATTTGTATTTATTTTTCCCTTTCTGCTTTCTCGTCGGTGGCTGTTCACTTGTTTTGTGAACGGCTGTCGCAGATGATTCTCACCGTGTTTGAGAGAACGCTGCTTCTCACCTGCACATACTTTCAATTCAGGATGAGCCGATATGAAAAGCCGTTATTAAAATTGTCAGAAAATATTGCTACTTTGCTTCTCCGTTTGAGCACCACTAGTTTAGATATATAAAGATTATTATTACTCAAATGCAACTTGATTTACTCAGAATTTAAGACAAAATATCTGCTGATTGGCTTGATTGTTTTGCATGTTTTAGTGCCTTTGCACTTTGAAAAATCTGAAATGATCTTAGTCAGCTACGTTTCTTTTAACTTTTGTACATTTATTACTAAAAAAGAGATAAATCTCTTTCGAATCTTTGATAAATAATTCACAGCAGTAAAATCTGTGTTGTCCTCTATCAAATCATTCCCGTCGTTGCTGCTGCCGTTCAGACTTTCGGACATTTTTTGCTTTTGTTTCTTTGTTTTGTTTCCTCCAGATGAGACAGAGCGACCCCGAAGTGCTCACAGCGTTGACCCACCGGCCGTGGAGCTTGAGCTGCCTCGGCGATGGTACGCCACGTTTTTCGTCAGTGTGGCAACATCACTGGATGAGGATGATGGACATCTTGTTGGACTGGGCACACCATCACCTGCTGTGGAGGCTGTGCGGCATCTCCGCTTTCCTGATCCAGAAAAACGTCGTGTCGCAGTGAGTTGGAGACTCGGCGAGTCTCTTCGTTTGAAATGCAACGCTTGCTCTGAAGTCGCGCTCCCAAGACAAGGCTCATGTTTTTATCATGTTCTCCATGCGCTCCCGACAAACTCATCCTCATGGGTGTCTTTTCTGTCTGCAGGGACTACGTGCAGTACTGGGCTCGAAGGGGAGTGGAAGTTGTAGCCTGGACCGTCAACACAAAATTGGAGAAAGATTATTTCCAGGAGGTGCTACACATCAATTACATCACAGACAGCCTTGTGGAAGATTGTGAACCTCATTACTGAGGCACATGGTCAATAGCTGCCAACGTCTGGATATGGGATAACATCCTTAAAATGAAAACGGATGTTTGAACTAATTACTCCTCAGCTATGGGTGGCAACAGATAAGGCCCTCTTCTCACCAGAACAAGACCATGTGATCATTTTAAAACTAAACAGAAATATCCACCCTGGTGCATAAAGAGCACAGAGTGATTTTGTTTTAGAGTTCCCCCCACCTCTTTTAGAAAATCACATACACCTCCATGCTGCACATATGCAGGTTGCTGCAGTGGTTGAATGTGATGGTGGAGGTGGAGAAACTTATTGTATTTACAGAAATTTTTCTCAGATTGCAGGGAAACTTCACTGTGAAATGGTGATATTGTTCTAACGGAACAGTATAAAAAAGCAGTAACTTTCCACTCAACAAGTTTTTATTTTCTTTCCTCCCCCAAATTTGCTGCAATCTAGCAAAATTGAAATAGTCTTGAAGATTATTGGTCGATCCCAGTCTGTTGCGAAGAGGGTCAGAGAAATCAAATATTCCAGTACTGTAAATTTACGCAGCGTTTTACCTGTGGGTTTTCAAACTTTTTGAACTTTATTTCTGGCTTCGTAACAAGAGGCCATGTATCAGGTTTTATGTTCCTTTAGAAACTTTATAAATACGATGAATTCAGTTGCACATGCGGTGCATACAGAGATTTTCAGACAGCGTGCTTGTACTTTTATGTCTCAAACGGACTCGTCTCAGACTATCCGTACAAAAGTCTTAGCAGGTTTTCCTGGGCTCTTCAGTTTGTCAGTTTATCTTTGGACAATGGCTGCTAACATTAAAGTAATAGTTTAGTTTGACGGTTTTTAAAGAATCCCTTGAATTGGTTGATTTGGCCAGTTAAAGTTCAAATCCACCAAAACAAAGCAAATCCACCATAAAAAGTTCTTAAGGAACTCAAGGAATAAAAATAAAACTCACCAAATCTGGAACAGAGCAAGAAAATAAGCAGAAAAAACCTAGAATATTGAAAGAAACAACCCTGCATTTTCAGTCTTTATTGAGTAAATATTCACCTTTTTGACATAATTTTAATCTGATTAAAATGTACCATGAAGAAAACAACCAATGTCCAACAGATCAAAGAAAGAGAACTTCCATTTGAAACAAAATGGAGATGAAAATGACAAACTCAGACTTTTGCCCAGAAAGACGTCTGTACTCAGGATTTAATAAGTTGTTTGTTTCCTGTCTTTATTTTAGCTTATTGTTGATGCCTGCAACGTTTGTCCTTCCACACTAAAAGGGAGAGCGTGATATGCTATCTATAACGTGTCTTGTTTTTGAATGTTTAAGAATGACCGAGAGTCAATGCGCTGGTTTCATGCAGATCAGTCTTCCTCTATGCTTATGTATGAAAGGACTTGTGATTATCATATACTTCTTTTTTTTTTTGTCAGTAATTTATCTCCATTTGTTAAGAATGGTGGGACTGAAATACATCACCAAATCTGGAACCGAGCAAGAACATAAGCAGAAAAAAACCTAGAAATGTTGAACGAAACGAAAAGTTAAAATCTCTAAGGCAACAAATATCTTTGGAAATTGTTTTTGAAACATCCGGCAGTCCTTGTTATCAGTTTATCTTCAGAAATGATCAGATAGTCACACTATGGATAAAGGAAAAAAAATGTACTTTTGGTTCGATCGGGTTTACTTTGGTAATATTGCTTTTATGGTAGACCAACTTAGAGACACATATTATGTCCAGCAATGTCCATTTATAGAATAAGAAACTGTCCAACAAATGTGTTTTTAGTGTCTTAGTAAACGCTGGTATTGTACAGGTATGTAAGCAGGCAACAGATTGAGTGAACTGAACAGAAGCTGGACTGTAAATAACGAGCCGTGCCAATTACATGCGTGACGTATTAAATCACTATAAGTGAGACATCTTTGTAGACTGCAGCTGTAACCGATAATGTATACTTTCAGAGCACGTGATTATATTTCTGCTTGCGTCTTACTAGCCTCACATCTGTTACACTCTGCTCAGAAAGTGATTGTAAGCAGTCATAAAGGGGAATGCCTTCTTCATTGTCTGTCCTAAAATAAAACAATGTTTGGGTTCTTTTGATGGAATATGCCTGTGTGTTTTTGGGTTCGTGTCGGATCAGGTTTTGACGTTTTGTGGCATCTCGGTCAATCTGATTGTCAAAGCAATCCGGCAGTTTATCTACAGGAAGGAAGACGATTCTTCTGTGGTAAAAAGGCAAAACTCTCTCAATCAAGAACACGTAAATGCCTCATGATGGGAGCTGCAACTCTCACATCCAGCTTTTATGGCGGCCAGCAGAAACGAAGGGATTTGAAATGTGCTGGAAGTCTTTTGGGTTCTGATGTGATCTTTGGACCTGGATAAGTTCGGTTCAAGGAGGCGTCATTCATTCACCCAGCATAAGTTTCCCTGTTAATGCTGAGCATTGTGGACGATTAACTCGCTGCTGTCTGACCCAGATGGTGTGGACCGCGTGGGGGGAGGCGGAGGGTGAGCAGTGTTGGATATCAGCGCGGAATAAGCCTGTCTGAGCCGCTCCTTGTGTCCGCTGATCTCCAGGAGCTAAACGCAGGCAGTCGGCTGACACTCGGGTGGTTTTGGTTCGCTGGAACACCAGCTGCTCCCTCTGCATAGATGCCAGAGTGACACGATTAACGGATCCCGCGAGAAACAAGCCAGGACGTCATGGAACCCGGAGAGCATTCGTCAAATTATCACGAAATGCTGAGTCACTGTGTGGCGAGACTTTGTTAATTAACAACCACACAGAGACTGGGGGACGTTTGATCTCTGCTTGTAGTGGTTTATTAGGTGAAAGGTGAACGCTTGGCTCCGCCCACGTAGATTAAAGAGAAACGAGGCGAGCGGAAACCAAGGGTTTTCAACTTCAAAATAAAAGCCTGCGCCACTTACGCAGAAATAGTTTTAAGTTTAACTTTAATAGTGTTTCTCTTTGCTGTGGAGCACAGCACATAATTAATAATATCTACAAGAACAAGTTTGATCGAGTTCACGGAATTATTCTACCGGCGGCTGTGTGGCCATGGATGACATGTAGAAGAATAGTGTTTTTGCCCTCCAGCGTAGTCTGCATGCGCGAAATTTTCTTACGTAAACAATAAAATGCATGGGGGTTTTATATATATATATTTGTAAATATGATTATGATCAAATAGGTGGCTCACCAGCTATGAACCTCACCGCACCACACTGAATATAAACATGTTTTTTCTTATTGCACAACCAATGAAATGATAAAGCTAAAAAATGCATTGTTTATCATCGATTTTATTTAATTAATTACATACTTTTACCTCAATATCTGATCAGATAATGTTTAAAGAGAAAAAAAATCTACATTTCAAATAACGTATTCAAAATATGAAAAAGGATGTTTTGCATTGTTTGTTGTTTCAACGTTTTTTTCTTTTTTTTATATGATGATGAACTAAAGTTACTAAAAAATGCTATAAAGTGCCTTGTAAACAATTCCAGTGTATAAAAAAACATTACTGATCCAAATACTGACCCCTGTGGGACTCCAAAAATTCCCAGGCTCTCCTCTAATTGAGTGTATTAACGACGTGCCTTTTGATGGCGCAACCTTTACTTGCAGCGTAAGGCTTTTATTTTGAAATTCGCCGCCGGAAGCTTCAGAATTCTCAATGGGTAGCTTCACAATGTACGAGCGTGGTAGTTCCTAGTCCTTATGAAAGTAAAGTGCGCTTCGTTCGCCCTTGTAATCTGTCAGAGGAGCGGGGGTATTGCAGTCATCTTTGGAGCTGCAGCGGTGCACAGCAGACACAGTGTCCGTCTCAGAGAGTCACAGACCTCGGGCGTCAGAAAGCGTTTATCCCTCCTCCCGTGCACGGTCCCCGGCGCCGTGGACCCGGGTTCTCCTTGAATGACCTACACACCACCCTAAAGAACGCGCAGCGGTCCCGTTGGCACCTGGACAGCGGCCGGCTCGGAGCGCCCTGCCGTAAAACACACAGCAGCCGACGGAGCCAAGCCAAGCGAGTCCCGCGCAGGCTTGTGGCCGACCTCGGAGCGGCTCACCCGGGCGACTGCACCGCAAAGCAGGACGCGCTGCGTCAAGGAGGAGCGAGCTGGAAGTTTATGGTGAAGAGTTTGGAGGTGGCCACCGGGGAAGAGGCGCACTCTGACGGGCTTATTACCGCTTCCAGACGTCACATGATGTACACAATCACCAGGGGTCCCAGCAAACTCGTTACACAACGGAGGACAGGTGAGTGAGTGAGTGGCAGCGCGGGTTACCTAACGACGCTCCACGGAGGAAAGTTTGCTGAGTTTATTTACTTCAAATAAAAAACTGCACAAAGTTAAACAGTCGGGTTTCACCTCAGGTCCCACACAGCAGGTCGAGAGCAAGTTCAGCGACTTGAAGCTAAAGCCCACCTCTTGGCTCGCCTCGAAGTGAGTACACCCCGTCTTTGTTCTATTACCGTACCTGTAATTATGGAGTTTTGTTTACGCGACTCGCGCTGGCAGCCGCGTGGGCCCAAAATACTTCTTCCCACGTGGACGAGCAGTGCGGTCATGTAACGACCTCGACGTGGCATGCGTCCATTATCGGACGTGTCTATTTTTTTGTTTTTGTAAATTTTTGTAAACTTTTTCCCTTTAGACCCGTTCTTCAAACCTTTATCTATATTTACTTTAGAGTCACATTTTGACGTCTTAACATTGTTTTTGTGGGGCGTTCATGATCGGTTGTAAAATCTGGTTCTACCTGTAGACTCACCTTTTATGGAGCCCTTTCATATGTTAGCCATTTTCCGCCACTCAATAATAATAAATACTTATTTCTTTGTTTGTTTTTTGTGGATATCTTTTTGGTATTTCTCATATTTACGTTATACTTTCTCATAATAATTACTTAGCTATGTAATAATGAAATCCAAGATTTTTTTTTAAATCATACAAGTGGCAGAAATGGGCTTCCATACATTTTTTTTACACCATACAAATTAATAAAGAATATTTCTAATAATTTAAGCTTCTTTATTGGATTTTATGATCAGATCAATTGAATTTTTTTTAAATATGAAATTTAGATACAATCTTGTTTCTGTTTTTCTGCTGGTCAGAAACTTAAATTTGGCCTGATTATTTTCTTATAATAATAATGATAATAATAATAAGGAATTTATACTTCAATTCCAGCAGAGCCTAAACTTGTTGTAATTTTCCAATATTTCTTGACCAGCAGTAGGACATTGGATCCTGCTAGTCACCAAAAAAACCAAAAACAGAGAAATTAGAAAAGTTCATAATTTGCTCCATGGAATTAAAAATAGAGATGATTTACAACTTCCTTTCATAAGATTAATATATGAACCTACAGGATTCCATGGTGAACCTCAGTGTTTCACCTCGGTTTCCCAATAAGTTGAAGCCTCAGCCTCAACTCACTTAACTTGCCTCCACGAATATGGCTTCTCTCGTTTTCCGGCTTGTGATCGGCGCGCCGTCCTCCCCACAGCTCTCCACCTCCGAAGATCGTCTTCAATCGGCTCAACGGGAAGCGCCACAACGGGACGGCCACGCAGAAGAGCCAGAGCCCGGCCGCAGAGGGATTCACGGCTGCGCACGAGGAGAACGTCAGATTCGTCTACGAAGGTGAGGGTCGCCGGGTCAGTGGGCCGCGGGGTCAGACGTTTAACTCTCTGGAAGCTCCCTGCTCCGTCTGACCTAAAGCTGACGCAGCGCTTCAGAGAGTTCACACTCTACATGGAGTTGGCCGCATCACGACTCAATCAAATGAAACATAAATTCTGTGTTTAAAAAAAATAAATACACAGGCCTGTTACAATAACACATTTTTCCGGATGATGATTTGTCCCAGTAGTTATCGCGATAAACGATAATATTGTTGTTTTGAGAAAATTTTCAAGTAGCATATTGATGATGGCATAATAATGCAAGATCACAGAGATCAATAAACTGCAATTCTGGAATTGAAACGTATTATAATCCAAAATAAAACACAGCTAAAAATAATAAATAAAACAGAAAAAAAAAAAGCAAACGCATGTAAATAATAAATAAAATGGATTATGATGTCACTGAACCAATTATTAGGTTTTAGGGGACAATTACTTTTTTCACATACGTGTATTTTGTGTATTTTCTTCCAAAAACTAAAAATCTGCAAGTGCAGATTTCCCACTTCACTCTGAGTGTTCGTCTCATTTTCGAGCTTCTTTTCTTGAATTTTCTCTCTCTTATGAGGAACTTTGGCAAATGCTTCTTTCCGTTCAGAAAAAGAGCCCGGAGGAAAACATGGCTTCCTCTCACTGTGAAGCCATGTCATGAATAGATGGCGTGATTAAATCTAACCCAGGACAGGTTCTCAACTTCACGTCAATGTGTCTGCAACAATTAAGCGGCGTTTTATTCAACAGCGCTTCAGAAACCGACGGTCGCTTCGAGTTACTGTAATGTGGGTCAGCGCCGACCGGCCGTCCCTCGGTGGGAAAATAGCAGCCTGCACGGCTGAGTTTGTGTAAATCAGCAACTTTCTGTTTCCTTTGGGCTCTCGCCAGGAAAGATGCGACTCCGCTGGTTGTTTGTTGCCACAAAACTGCAGCTCTTTGTTGTTACTGGATCTGAAAGAAAAGGAAATAAAAACCAGTTCCTTAACCAGCTTCCCTGCAGTAATGTCACTGGGATCTGGATTTTACATCGACAGTAACAAGTCGAAGGTGCAAAATACTGAGACCTTTTGTTCCATTTTGTCAAATTATTCCAAGTAGGGCTGCAACTTCAGTTAGCGATTTATTCTATTGATTGCTCTGACGATTAATTGATGAATCGGATAAGAAAAATTAGCACATTCTGCTGGTTTTTCATTGAAGTCGTTTAAATGCATATTTCTTGGATTATGTTTAGTAAATAATAAGTAATAGATGCTTAAAAGATCATTTTGTTTTACAGAATTTAAACCAAGTGATGCTAAATCTTTACCACTTGAGGAGTTTTTGCAGACGCGTTATTGTTAATCTTAAATGTAAATATCTTTTATACAGGTTCGGATTAATTATTGCCAAGTATGTCCTCCAGCATAATCAATTTCTAAATTAGTTGACGGTCATTTCAGTCATCAGCTAATCTCAATTAATCAGCCCAAATTTGAATGTATTTTTGCTGTGATTTTAAAGCAGATGTGAACTGAAAGGAATTTCTTGTCGGTTGCATTAAGAAATCCAGCTGTGTGTGTGTGTGTGTGTGTGTCTCAGTCTCAGCGTCTGACGTCCTGTGTGTGTTTCTCTGCCTGTGTGCAGTATGGCAGGAAGTGGAGCAGAAGCTGGAAGACCGAGGGGAGTCAGCTGACAGCAGGGGGCCGGTTCAGTACGCAGAGAAGACCCCCGGCGCTGTGATGAAGAGTGAGTTACCTCCACCTCCTGCAGCTCAGCGCAGAACAAAGCAAAGCCGCCCTCGTAAAGCTGATCTCCCGTCTGATTTGTGTCGGGCGGCTCTGTTCCTGCAGAACTTTGAACCAGTAATCTCACCTTGATTCCGGAAGCGCCGCTTTCATCACCCCGGTGGACTCGAGCGCTACTGTGTGTGTGTGTGTGGGGGGGGGCGTTTTCCTGAAACGTCTCACTCTTTGAATGCCAATAAGGATAGATGATCTTTATTTACATTTAAGATATTATGATGATCTGCCATAGGTCAGAGGTCATGAGTAAAATGAAAAGTGGATTTCTTGTGATACCAGAGTGGGCGTTTTCCTTAAACGTCTCACTCACTGTTTCAGATTGAAAGGCTCTTGGCTGCGCCAGACAAACTGGTTCCAGTTTGTAGCTGCAACATTTCTGACGGATTATTTTTAACTTAATTGGCTGGCACTCTTGTGTAACTGAAAACAGATAGACTTTTTGTGTAATCAGAAGACGATTGTTGCTCAGGTTTTTTTCTATCCTAAAAAAAAAAAAATAAAAAATCTGTATAATCCAAGTCTTAAATGTCCCAAAGACTGTGCTGAAATAATGCATATAAGAAAACAACAACAAAGGCTTCATGGTGAACAACCCAATCATTTATTATTTAATATTACTAGACGTCATTTGATCATCTTTGACCTATAAAGACAGGAAATAGCCAAACTGAGACTTCACTGTTCATCTCCTCTGAACAGGTTGTGGATACTTAGTTGAAGTGCAAATAAGCAAGAAACAGTGAAATGGAGGGGAAAGATTGAAATAGAGGAATTAGAAGAAATTAAAGGAGAGAAGGCTAGGAAGGAGGGAGAACAGAATGCAGACAAGATTAAGAAAATTCTGGAAATATAGACTTAAACTTTAGCAACATTTTACCAACATTTCAGATACCTTACCAGTAATTTCTTTATGGACTGACCTTCACATGGAGCGTGATCTGTTGCTCACACAGATACGCTTTCTGCTTGAAATGTGGCGCATTCCCTGCAATCCTTTTAAAAGTAAAAAGCCAGGTCTTTTCATTACTTTGACATCCAGTTTTAAACTGATCCGTTGAAACAAAACGACAAACTCTTGATCAGAAGTTGATTCTCCTTTTTCTTCGCTCCTCTGCCCAGACTTTGTGCCCATAGACCTGGAGGAGTGGTGGGCTCAGCGCTTCCTCGCCAACATCGCCAACCTGTCGTAGCCGTACGAGAGCGTGCACCAAAAGCGGAGCAAGCCGGCGCCGACCGCGAGGGGACCGGAGTCGAGCCCGTCTCCCGGGGGCCGCTGTGCTGTGCGTACTTTTCGGAATCTGATTTTAAAGCACCTTGCTTTACGCTGCAGTAGAGAAATCTGGGTGCAGTATAAACCCGTCCCCTCCAGTCCCTGAGCGGAGCAGCGGCGACCTGAATGTGAACTCTCGACAGACCTGACCTCATGTTGTGCTGCGTCAAGGGACTCCTCTCTGTACTTGAACAATGTGTGAGAAGAAGCGGTGAGATTTTTATTGTCTTTAAACACGCACAGCTCTGGGTACGTTTTGGGTGTTTGGATGTTAAGCTTGAAAAAGTAAAAAAAAAAAAACATTTTCAAAACTTTTTGTGTGGTGTGGTTTCTGTGGAAAAGTAAATATATATATTTTCGGCACTAGTACTTGTTATTAACTGGACAAGAGGGACGCAGAGACGGGCAACGCCCCGTATCCCATCGACTCGACGCTGCTTTCTGGATGCTAAACGTTTACAAACGTCACATCCTGCACACAATACAACAAACACTTCCGTTTTATTTTAACAATGCAACATATAAAAAGTGAACTCCCAAAATCCGAAACCTCTTAAAAAAATATCAAGTATTTACAACGTTTAAATTGGTGTAAGCGCCTCAGAATTTAAAAACAGATTCAACCAGACATTAAGCTCCACACGTAAAATCGACATTTTCCCCCCCACATTTTCTACATCAAATTAGCGTTTTAAAGCTCTGTTCTTCCTCCCGCCCCCCATCGGCCCCCGGCCCGTCCACGCGCCCCGCCTGCGGCCGGCCGCCTGCTGGCCCGGCTTGGCCGTGGTGAAGGTGATGCACTGGGAGTCCAGGTAGTCCACCAGCTTGGCGGCGCCCAGGCGGATCCCCGCCGCCTTCAGCTGCTGCTGGAGCTGGGAGAGAACCAGAGGCTGGTACTGGAGGATCCGACTGTACAGGTCGGAGTCGGACAGGATGAAGGAGCGCACCGCCTGGAGGCGGTCCTGGAGGCGCGAGGCGGCCTGAGAGGACGACACGTCGCTGTCCGAGTCGCCGCCGGAGGAGAGAACCAGCTCAGGGTTGGACCTGCTGATGAAGAGGATGTCACAGAAAAAAAAACTTGAAAACCATCCATCATTTCTCTTCCACTTATGCTATTAAATGCTGCTTTGTAAGAAATCCATGATGATATAACGCTAAAAATAGTATTTAAGTAAGAGAAGCACCACTTCCACATATTTTACTCAAGTAAAAAAGTATTTGGTAAGAAGGCTGCATAAGTACATAGTAACTGATCAAAACATTAATCAATTAATATTTGAAAATTGCTTCTCAGGCAGACTGAAATATAAAATTGTGTGAAAATGTTGCCATTTTTAAAAAGAGCAAAATGAAAATAATTTATATAAAAATAGCTTAATGACAACATCAGGCAAAATAAGCATCTTTCCAAATCACTGTCTTTCAATATGAAACTCATTTTGAAAACTGAATTTTTGGTTAAAACAAGTTTGTTCTCCATTCAGTGAAGTTACTCACAGTAGTTTAGTAAAGGTAAAAAGTACGGTGTAGCATAAATGCTGAAAAAAAGCAACTTTTTTGTTCAAGAAGTTCCTCCAGTAAATGTAGCTGAGTAAACATAACTAGTTACTGCCCATCTAAAAATTAATAAATTGGGTCTGAACACTTCTCCACTACACGTGTTTTTTAGTTTGCAGACACAGAAGCGCTACGATCACACCACGCACTTTTCCGACTCGTCGCTGGCGGCGGTGGATGAGGCGTTTGAGCCCTGGGAGGCAGAGAGCTGATCGCCGGCTTCCTCTTGGTACGTTTTGACGGGGGACGCGGCGGCGGGCGCCGGGGGCTCTTTGAAGCGGGCGCAGGAGACCGCCCCGCTGAGGGGCCCCTCTTCTTCCTCCTCTTCCTCGGAGCTGGTCAGCTGGTGGGTGTACTGGTGGATCTCCTTCAGCTTGAGGACCATTTGACGCTTCGGTAAAGGCCGCACGCCGAAGCTGCATGAGGGGGGGAACGGTTAAGGCGAGCAGATGGCCGGGAGAGACAGGAGGGGGAAAAAAACAGAAAAGCAGCCTGAGATCGACTTAGCCGAGAGTAATCTGATTGGTTCATCACTTAATCACCTTGATCGAGGGGGAGAAGAAAAAAAAAACCCAACTTGACCTTTGTGTAAACTTTGCTCAGGGTGAAGATGATGAAGGAAGTGCGACTGACCTGCTGAGTTTGTTCTTGAGCTCAGGCGTGTCCATGTCAGAGTAGTGAGGCGTGGGCGTGATGGGCACCGGGGGGCGCCGCCGCTTCTGCTTCCACGTCTCTGATACAGTGACAGTTCATAAGCAAGGGCGTTTTTTTTTTTCTGATGGTGCAGCATGTTGTGAGTAAGGCGGAGGATCAGTGATGCTGTGGGCCTGTTAGTCTTTCCAAGAAGAGGCATCGTAAACTATCAAAAATGCAGCTACAGCTAAAAAGCAAGCGCTCAATTCATTTTAGTGACTCGCTTCAAAAAATGAAAGATTCATTGGGATTTATTATTATGGCTCAGTTAATAAAAACTAAAAATCAACTTTTCAGAAAATCTAACTTTGAAACTTTATCTCACAAACCTCTCAAAGCTTTATTTGTTTTTTTTTTCTTCCACTCAACTTTCCACTAACAGAAGCAGCATCAGTGACTAACCCTCCCACAGCAACATGCCTGCATCTAGAATTTTTTTTTTTAAAAGCTGCAGCCTAGAACATTTATTAAAAATCACAACATTGACTTTGGAGTTTCAAATATGAAAAACTTTTTTTTGGGTAAAAGTTACCATCATGAAATAGTTTTCTCTGAAATAAAGTTGTTGAAGGTCTTTGAATTTCGCCACAGTTTGAGTTTTACTGATTAAAAAAATATGTCAACACCTACTTGGAGTTTTGACCTGAGCCGCCGGGTTCGCTCTCTGAGACAGAGGAAGACCCTCCTCCTCTTCCTCCTCCTCTCCCTCTCCCTCTTCCTCCTCCTCTATCTCTCCTGCTCCTCCATCGTCCTCCCAGCTGCCCCATATTTTGGAGTCCAGCAGGTCGTTGTGGACCTCTGACGTGGTCAGCGAGGCTGGACCTGCAGCAGGGTTCTGGACGCTGCTTGTAGCTGTCGGACTGGTCACTCCGGGTCTCCCTGCAGAGCTGGACTCTTCGGTGTCGTCCAGCTTCAGGCTGAAGCCGCCCGGGTCGCCTTCGGCGCAGGCGTCCAGGCCCCAGGAGTCGTTAAAAGCTATCGGAGGCTCATCCATGAAACTTTGCTGGAAACTAGAGTCCCTCACGTCTGAGACAGATGTTACTTGGTCCATGTCGCTGACGCCAGGCTGCACACTGGATTCCATAGGAGAAGAAGACGAGGGCTGACCTGAAGGATTGGAGACAGGGGTCCTCGCTTTCTTTTGCCTCTCTGGGTCTGCATGCAGCGGAGCCTCAGGCTTTGAGGAATCTCTAAAGGAACGGTGGGCTGCGAACGCTTCAGTGCTCTTTCGTTTGTTTGGAGAAACTTTGCGTTCTGCGGAGGCTTTCAAAGGAGTGCTGGAGGTCGGGACGGTGTTCCTGGACGGCGAGGTGGGGGGAGACGGGTCCACTCTGGGGAAAAGTCGCGTCCTGCACATGCTGCTGTCGGTCTGTATGGAGGCGGTCTTGGTGTTTCCGACCGGAGACCTGACAGGCGTGGAAGGGACGAGCCAGGAAAGCTCTGGCGAACACCCGATAGGCTCACCGGGACTGAACTGGGAACCACACACCGATTCTCTGGGACTCGGGCTCTGGCCGGGTTTGATCCCCGTGAAGCTCCGATCGGCTCCCTCCTCTTCGCTGGAGTCGGACAGAACGATGAGCTCTGCCTCGTCTCTCCTCGCGGGCGAAGGGGGGGCGCTGCGGCGAGCTCGGCTTTCTGCTGCGGCTTCCTCACTTCTCCTGTGTCCATCCCCCTGAGCCGGTCGCCCTGGAGACGGCCCGGGGACGGGAAGGTTGAGGGAGGATTCATCGGCGATGCTTGCTGACGACTGAAGCAGAGTCCTAGCAGAGTGTTTGGGCGCCGCTTCATGAGGCAGAAGAGGAGGCGCGGTTGAAGCTTCTCCATCATGGTAGGACTGGGAGAAAAGCCGACTGCAGCTGCGGTCCGAGACGCGTTCTGGTTTCTCATCTTCCTCCACCTCCTCTTCCTCTTTCGCCCTCTGCCTCTGTGTGGCGGCGAACTCATAAATCTCCTCCAGCTCCTCCTCGTTCACTCGCTCCTCGCCGATTTCTCCGTCGCCCGTGGCGACCTCGTCCTCCGGCCGTCCTCCTCCGTCCTCCTCCTCCTCGACCCACATGGATCGAAGGAGCTCCACGAAGGCCTGGTCCGTTTGGTTGTTGACGTTGTTCTCTTCCTGGTTCACGTCGAGCCCAGCGTCTCCCGCCGCCATGTTCTCCGTTTGGAAACGACACAGCTGCTCCAGCTCCTGCAGGTCAAACCTGGACATGCAGACGTTGAGTGTAAACGTGACTGAAACTTAAGTCGTTTAAACTTTTGACTTTGACCAGGGGGCTACAACCTGAGGCTCTGGAGCTGCAAGTGTCTCTTAACTACGGCTGAAGAAAAAGTAAAGAACCAACTGATGTTTTAAATGTAAATAAACATAGACAGGTTTTAGGAGATGCAAAAAGTATCATAATATTGTTTTTTCTTTTATTTTTACTGAATTTCCCACATATATCCATGGAAAAAAATGTATGCATCCACTTTGTGCAAACATTTATGTTTTCTTTACTTTACGCCCTAAATCTGGAAATAAAATTGTAATTTGACAAATTTCCTAAATTATACATAATTATGTCTTTTTATCAACAGACATATGTGTCTCTAAACAAGATCTGCTTTAGTAGACAACCCACTAATCACCACATGAATTCAAATAGACACTACACTTTTGGATTTCTCTTTGCAAACCATTTTTGAAAACGATGCTAATAATAAAACACAGACTATCATACAAATTCTAAACTAAACACGTTAAGAGTTTGTGGTTTTAGGTGAGCGGAGCCGACCTGGATGCCAGCTCCAGCACATGAGGCCGCAGCGCCGCAGCGACGGAGCAGCGGGCGGTGTAGAGGTACCGCAGCACAGCCAGCACCGCCTCGCCCGGCACGTCGCTCAGCAACACCCTGTGAGCTGCGGCGGTGCCCTCCTCCTGCACACCGAACCCACTTTCATGCACCTGGAAGAGGAGCGACGGATCACGCAAAGTTAAAACTTAACCTCTTAACCTATCAGAGCGGAAGACAGTCACAACGATGGCAATATTTCACGAGTTTTGGTCGCGAAATATTTCACCCCCAAAAAAGAAAAAAAGAAGAAGAAAAAAACAGTTAAAGGATGCAGATTTATTTGAGGCATTGGTCGGTTTATGGTCATAGCGAACGAACCTTTATCTATGTAATCCCCAGCTAAACAGTACAAATGTGAGTTTTTAATAGTACAAATAATTTTAATGGCTTTATTTAACGAAATGCGAATCTAAACTACACCTGGCCACATATCTGGTTGAAAATGCAATCTCAGAAAAGGGGGGAAAAGAAAGAAAAGACAAAACAAACTGTTTTTTTTTTTTCCTTTTTCCAAATTTTCCATGAGTCTAAATGTCCAATAAAAGAAAACAACTCTGTTTTATTATTTTAACCCTCGTGCGATCATAACATTCTATTCACTCCCCCTGTCCTACGGGTCAAAATGACCCGTCCTAACAAAAGCCCCAAAATAAAGCAAATTAATTCAATTTGGATTCCAAAATCTATTTTTCGTGATGAAACAATCTGTTATTGATCTATCCAAATATTTCAGCTGCTTCCTCCTCGTTTATGCCACCTTAGATATGGGATGTAAACGACATTATTTATTTAAAAACAAACTACTTGAAGATAAGAACATAAAGCGTCTAAAAAAACGTTCATCATTTCACCATTTCAGCCAGCAGGGGGCAGCGAGCGTACACCATGAAGGAATGCGCAAAGTAGACCTCTCCACTGTCCACCTGGAGCTGCAGGTCACTGAGCTGAGGGTTGTTAACCATGCTGCTCAGGTCTGAGGACAGCCTGGAGAGCGCCACCTACAGGGGAAACACCATAACAACAGATTAAGCTTACCACAAACATGACAGGTTTCTTTATTTTTTTAAAATTCTTCCTGGTTTGTAATTGTAATTTACACAAGAAGCAACAAAAACACATTTCATTGACATTTTATGACTAACACATAAGTCAATTTAAGTAGCTGAAAACTTTCTGCTCACCGACTCATGTCTGGCTCCGTCTCGGTCCGCCTCTGGCCGATCTGACCTCCTCACTGCCCGGCTGCTGGTGTCGGTGTCGTCCGACGGCTCAGCCTGATTCTCCAACTTTTCCTCTTGAATGAAACCGCTCAGGTGCCTGGCTGCGGAAACAGACGCAATCAAGATTTAGTCAGATTTCCTTCTCATCTCTCCCGTCCGTCGTGTAGCTCAGTCAAACCTTACATTTTTCTCCTGATATAACTGCATGGCAGAGTTTACCTTTGTCCGCGTATCCGTATTGGGTCAGAGTCATGCCGTCTTCAGCCAGCTCCATCAGGTCTCGGATGGCCTGGCTTCCCACTTGGAGCTCTCCCGTCCCTGGAGTGGAGGGAGAGGAGGACTCCGTCTGGGAGCAGGAGGGCAGGGCAGGCGGGGCAGAAGACGCCGGCTGGTTGCTGCTGCTTGATAAGACCACATCTGGCTTAAAGTGGAACAGGAGGACATTGATTAAAGCACATGTAAGTTGCGGAAGTCTCCAATTCATATATCTAAAATTAGGGCCATAAAATTTCTCACATTTATTTTTAAAAATTGAGTTGCCCTTTAATATTTATATCACAGGCCTTAAATGTTGTCGTACATTCAGTGTATTTATTTATTTTAATGGAAAAACAGCACTCCATTGTCGACTGTCTTTCTGAGCACATTTAAAAAAAAATAATTTTCAAATTACATAATATCCCTCCAATGCAAATAAGAAAACTACCACGACTTGCCATAACCCCGCCAGGTCCTTGCAGTTTTAAACATGTTTTTGTTCCCGTTTTTCCTCTATTTATCCACAAAAATTTGACGGTCTGTTCTGAAAACTGTTATATTGTCATATTCACTTCTTTTGTACATTATTAAAGGTTTTTCTAATTGAGAATAAGTTAAAAAAAAAAACATTTCACCGCGTTCTGTCACTCAAACGGTTGAGGCTACAGCTAGCTCCCCGCTAACATACCCGTGCTAACTAACTATCTAGCTAGCTAGTTAGCTTTCCTGCCTCTATTGCATTTTGCCGCCAGTTGGCTAGATGAAGTTCACACATTTTTGTGGAAATATAGGTCATTCGTTATGGTCTTAAATTTGAGTTGGTGAAGCCTGCAGAAAACTTGCCGGATTTAAAGTTGACTGGGAGCAAATTGAATCTTGTGCTCCGGTTTAAGGTGGTCTGTAAAACGAAACGCAAAATAATTCTATTTTTTTTAAAGATGGGCCTTCAACTTTTAAGTCAACTTAACACATGACAAAAAAAAAAGGAATAAAGCATGAAAACGAATCCTTTACCCCCCTCTATTACCTTTGTAATAAACAGGTGCTGGAGCTCCGCAGCGTAGAACTCAGACAGAGAGGTGGAGCCTCCACTCAGCAGTGCACTTTTCCGCCAGAGGGGGGCAGCACCTGTCCAGCCGGGCAGCTTGCTTGGGCTTCGCGTCGGGGTTGGAGGAGAGGGCGGCCGGCGGCGCAGCAAGAGAGCAGAGACCCGGTCCTGCAGCCTCGCCAGGGCGGTCTCTGCGTCCTGAACTAGGAGGAGTGGCGGAGGGCGAGGGACGGCTCCCTTTTTCTTTTTAACGCGTCCTTTAGCTGCACAAAAACAGAGAAGAAGAAATGATAGTAGATTTGAAGTTGATGAGGTTCCTCAGACTGATCTCTCACCAGATGTTTGAAAAGTGTTTAAATTTAAGAAGTGTTCAAGTGAAGTACATCTGCAAATTTTCACTGCGTCTCAATTTTTCCACGTTTTGCTGTCATGAATTTTATTTTACTTTTTACATTTTTGCAGATTTCTTAAATAAAATTAAAAAGATCCCACAATCATACCTCACATTTGAAAATAACTTCCTTATAGACAACTGAACAAATTTTTAAAATTATGTAGAATCTTATTTAAGTGTAAAAATGTTTTCCCAAATTTCTAGCATACTATGCCTATAAAAAGCATTCAACATCTTGATTTTGAGTGATTAATTTCAGATCAAAACAAAGGGAAGGTCTAAAACTACCTTATTATATCAAAAAGGTCTCCAAGCCCAAGAACTTTACAGCCTATTTGTTCTGAAAGGTCCCAGAAAATGTTAGTGGTGGTACCGTACCAGCATCTGGATTCCACATCAGCAGTGGAGTCACGGAGCTGTGAGACGGACCGCTTTGAGCCTGCTGTTCCTTCTGCTGCTCCAGGAGGGAGGAGGACAGAGCCAGAGCCACCATGGTGTCCTCGTCCAGCCGCTCTGCCTTCTTCCTGGGCTTCTTCCTTGCTGGAAGCTCCGGCTGAGGCGGCCCTTTCCTTTTGACGCCGCCCGTCTCTAGGCTAGGAAGAAGAAACAGGGACAGTTTCTTCAGCTTTATGCGCTCAGGGGCTGCGGCATTAAGGACGTGTCCTTCACGATGAGGCACTCACTGTGCGTTGGCGGCGACGGCAGAACTGCGGCTCTCCTCGGCCTGTCTCTGCAGAGCTTGCAGCAGAACGGCCGGGGAGACGCCCATGTCCGCGGAGCAGCGCTTCAGGTGGGCCGAGCGGCTCTTCTGGCTCTTGAACTTCTTGCCGCAGATGGGACAGTCGGGGACAGCGGAGGGCGGGGGGAGAGATGCCGCGCTCTGTTCGTTTTGATCCAAACACCTGCAAGAAAAGCAAACATGTTTTTTAAAGGCAGACCGTAAATTTGTAGCAGGGCTGAGGGTCGAGTCTTTTCAGAAGCTCAGTTAGCTCAGATTGTCCAATCAAAGCAGTTCTGGTGTGTGTGTGTGTGTGTGTGTGTGTGTGTGTGTGTGTGTGTGTGTGTGTGTGTGTGTGTGTGTATGGTGAGTGTACTGGACACATTTTTTTCTGATAATTGTCCAGTTGGAAATTCTCATCATGTCCAAGTTTCAACCATCTGACCTGAACCGTCATCCTCAGCTGAAAGGAAATTGGACGAGACCGGGGCTGAAATAATTAACTGTGACGAATCGATTGTTGAAATAATTGTTAGTGATTGATTAATTGTTAACCGGAGTGTACAAACTCAAAAGAAGGCCATTTGCTGAAAGAACAACAAGCTCAGAGCAGGAATTAAGCCAAAACTTTACTAATCCTGTAAAGAAACAAAAAACAAAACACTAATCAGTTAATCAAAACAATAAACGTATTGTCATCTAAACATTCTAAAAAGGTCTGATTTTTTCACAGTTTGATGCTGTGAGCTGTTTTTCAGTTCACAGCTGAATGGCTACTTTTGACTTTTACGTGAGTGAAAAATATGTTGAAGTAGAGCTACTCTTAGTCCAGTTTACCAGCCTCTGCCTGCAACATGAGACACACAAAGGAAGAACACGTCCGGACCTGTTGAGGTGTTGTGTGCGCCCCTCGGGGGTCATGTGTGACAAGTCCCGGTGGCAGATCTGACAGAAGAAAAGGCCTCCGTCCTCCAGGTCCACCATCTGGGCCTCTGCCGCCTCCCTGTCCAGCTCCCGCTGCAGCCGCAGGGCCAGCGCCTCGTCACTCTCTGGGATCTCAGAGCGGGGCGCCGCCGCCGCCGCCTTATCTGAGGACAGACGTGGGTCATAGTAAAACTGCGCATTGCACTTTTTTATCCGTCCCCTTTACCATGACACTACTTAAGAGTTTGTTCGAGAAGTGGCTCTTTAGAATGTCCATAATCACCATGAAATACTTAAAAATGATAAACAGATGTTTTAGAAATAATGTTTTTTTTTTCCAGTGAATAATTACATTGAATTTCAACTGAATGACACTACGAGTATTAGTCACTTTTACTTATATCTTTTTTTTACTGTTAGGCTAGTAACTATTTGCAAATGTCAACTTCTCCACATAAGATGAAAGTTTCGTCCTCTTATTTTTAAAACAAAAATATTAACAGTTGTTCTTTTACAACAGGATTCCTGTGATAAGATTTGTTTAATGTGTGCAGTATTTGTGCTTATAATAAGGTAGTTATAGTTTAGCTGGACTCAGGGCAAAAAATGGGCTTGGATGTCATGTAAAGGTTGCAGACCCATGTTGTAGCAGGACACAGTTCAAGCCTCGACCTAAATCTGAATAAAACTGCACACCACACCACCACCATTTCCATAACTTACGAGGTTTGGGTTGGACTAATCTTTGCATTACCTGCTTTTTGATGCTGTGCAGTCACAGTACAGCCGTCGGTCTTTGCCGGCTCGATTCTGTTTCTGTGCATCATCGTCTGTGGCCTGGCTCTCTTAAACTCTTGCATCCTGTGGAGTACCTTGTCTTTTGCTTTGGCTGGAGGAAAAGCAGAAGCCTGAACAGCATCCTCGGAGTCACGCCCAGTTCCTCCACAGACCACCTCCGACCCAGTGGCTGAAAACCTGGACAGATTATCCTCATCCTGCCCATCAACCGTTCTCTTTTCCCCCCGGGTTGCCTGGCTGGAGCTCTGCTGTTCTGCCTTCCTGCTCGGTCTGCCTGGTTCTTTCTTGCGGACGCGCTTCAGCAATTTGGAGCAGAGGTCCACAAAATCCAGCTCGGAGTCGTCCATGTTTATGACATTAGGTGGCGAAGCTGCATGGTTCCAGCTGCCGCTCCCAACTCGCAGAAACAGCTGGGTTAGGCAGGGAAAACGGAATAAAAACCCATTTCGTCACCTGTTAACGGAGGGGAGACGAGGTCCTTGAACACAACACGACAGACAGCAGCCGGTGTGCTAGCTATTGGTGCTAATCAAAGTCTTGCTGAGGTTTGTGGACAGGTCCCTCATTGCCTCAACACTCTCCGTCTGATGCTAGGAGTGTCTAGTTTTACGTAACATTGCTTAACGAAAGACAGAAAGACCCGAAGAGATTGTTTATGTTTCAAAACGTCTTACCACAACCGCTCCATTCCTGGCTTCCGGTCACGTGATAATCAACCAATAAACAGCGGTTATTCAGATCATCTTTTCGCTGACGCCACTTACTGTAAAATATAACTTAATATTAAATAAATATTTTATTATAGTAAATACAGAGTTTCTGACGACGATATAAAAAATATCTAATTCACTATAAATACAATAACTGCTCCACTGAAAAAGGAAGTGAAAATAAAATAAATCAATAAATCTTCTGAGCATTGCTGTGTAAAATGACATATTGTGTTAGAAATGAAGGAGGTTCAGATATGGTTTCGGGGAATTTATATGGGCTGCATGGGCATTAGCCCGGGGCAGCATTAGAAACGACACACATAAGCATTGGATGAAAAAAAAAAAACCTCTGTTGAGCCCTGAATATTTTATTTTATTTCACTTTATGCGCGTGACTACAAAAAGGTCGCCGTCGTGTCCAATTGGCGCCCCCAACTTGTTGAAAACATGGAGCAAATTTTAGTTTTTGCTCTTTGAAAGTTGGTCCTTGAATGTCCTCTGGTGAGTGTTTCCTGATATAATTTGTTTAATCTGAAATATACAAGTACGTCCAAAATAATGGAAAGTGCAAAACGCCTACAAGGAGCACGTGCACGAGCGTTAACCAGATTGTTCAGCTAATTTTCAAAGAACAGAAAATTGCTCACAAATGAACAATTTCACAGAAAGAACAAGCCGCTAGCTATGAACAATAAAACAACTGCTTTACTAATTAACTCATTTTATCGTTAAGAGCCACAACGCCTTCGTCTGTTGGCTCTGTTCGCCAATATTTAATATGTTTATGATTGTCATAGTGGTGGGAATTGCGGCTGGTTTTCGAGATCCAGACCATTTGGACACATAAGAACCGGGTCTTTCTTGGCTCCTAAACGGCTCTTCATCATTCATCCCGCGGCTGTCCCATGGCTAGACAAATTGATAATCGGTAGCTTATTCACTCCGAAAAGCCATTCTTCTTAACAGTAGTGTGTGGTTTCTGCCAGTGGTCCCAAAGTGCATTGCTCAAGGGCCAGTGTCCTGCAACGAGATGTCTCTGCTGGCTCTTAGCTCATTTATATACATTTATTTATTTTTGTCTGTACTTAATTTTGATTTGTGCTGTAAAATAGAACAAGTATGGGAACACTTTTTATTTATTTTATTTTTTTATAACAAATTGGCATATTTTCAATTCAATCCTGACAAAGTGGGCTAACTGGTGTAAGATCACTTTTCTCCTGTTGCTATTAGCAAGAAGATGGAAATAAAAGTGAAATAGTCACAACATGGCTGCTGTTAAACCTGACATCTAATCGGCTGAACTGGACCCTGCGGCTGTGGGAGACGAATCCCAGATCCCCGGACTTGTCCTCCTGCAGATGTGGGCCCTCAACCTTAAGCCAACCTGAGATCCTGTAAAACTTTATAATGACAGAAAGTTTAGTGGAAGGAAAAAGTGTGAGTGTGCAAGTTAACATCTTCGTAACAGTTTAAATGTTGATTAAAAATAATCCAGATCAACTGAATTAAAAGCAGTTGGAATATGACACAGCATGTAGTAAACGAGTTCACTTTTTGACGTTTAAAGTTTCTAAGTGCATCTGTAAATTAAATATAGAGGATTTGAGCATTTACAAACTAGGCTAAACTCTGAAGGCAAGAAACTTTTTTCTTTTTTTTTTTTTAACATACAAGTATGAAAAGGTTTAGGCTTAGAAAGGGGTAAATAGGCAATTCTTTAGGTACCAGAAGACTCAATATGGGGTATGTGACCAAAGTTGATGCTAAAGGACAGAAAAGTACTGAAATGAATAACACACACCAACAGTAAAAGTATTGCCTCATTCAGTCAACAGAGTACTGGCATTCTTCTGTTGCACACAGTTTATTTAACAATATGGTATATAAGTAAGAAATGAATCTTTTACCAGTTTATACAGTGATTTCATTCTCTCTTCCTTATATTTATAGTATTTTTGCTTAATAGCTTGATTTACAATAGGAGAAAAAGGAAATCCCCCCCCAAATTCAAGTGTTTGTGAGAGGAACGAAGGTTGATGACAATTAAGCTTTCCTTAAGGTGAATCTCAAATGTTGCCCTTTCACCCGTTGATGGCTCACAACTTTAGTGTAAAACTTGGGGCTTTTGGGAATCACTTAAGATTGTTTTCTACAAACAACCTGTTATCATTCCACCTCAGCTTAGGGGGCTGGTCTCTTTCTCACGCTCTCTTTACACTTTACATTTGTATGACAAGGGGAAAAAAAGAAAAGAAAAAAAAAAGAAGGTATGACAATTTTCTTCTTTTTTTAGTCAAACCCAACAACTTTCTACACCAGCAGAAGATGGTTTTTTTTTTCTATTTGAGATTGAAGTCTGCAGTCCTCTGTGAAATTCAGAGCAGTGTTCCTATTAGTGACTGTGAGGGTCTGTGCATCAGTGTCTTCATGTGCGCCTGCATACATGCCAGCGAATACGCAGCCTGCCGCAGGCCAGTTCCTACTTTAATACGACCGAGTGCTCTTCATAAACACGCACAACGAAAAGTCTAAAAAATAAAAAAAATAAAGGGAGCCGCTGCCGTCCCTGAATGCATCGTCTCGCCGTAATGGTACAATACTAGATTACAATTGCCAGGAATGACGGCTCACGAAGAGAGAAAAAAAAAAACAAACCTGTCCCGATTCCCAGACAAAAAATATTTTTACAGTTTTAACAAAAAAACGCATTACCTTTTTTCCCCCAAAAAGACAACAAAAAATAAATCCAACAAAAAAAAAAGAAAAAATCCGGTACAAAATAAAAGATATGAATGGTATAATGCAATTTTACATTTTCTTAAAAAAAAGAAAGAAGGCATGAAATCATACCACAAATGAAAATAAACTGAGTACAGAACACATTTGGTCTCAACCAAAAATATATTCTTTGTGATTTAATTTTATTTTAAGAAGAAAACTTGCAAATCCCTCAAACATTTTAAGAAAAAAAAAAAAAAAAAAAAAAAACAAACCCGGCGCTTGGGGTCCAGGAAACCATTACATTCCCAAGAACAGTTTGTTTCTTGACCGAGTTTTTCTTTAGTCACGTCCCGCCCTCCCCTTTCCACAAAAACAGCTGAAACTTTTTACATGTCAGTACAAAACGAAAACGTTCTCAATCTTAGAAAGAACGAACGAAGCCCTCTGGTGGGGTAAAGAGTCCGAGGGGGAAACCGGGGAGTATAGGTGAGGGGCATTGGGAGAGAAAAGAGTTATTTTTTGTTCCCAGTTACAAAATGCTACAACCCCTCCACGAACCTCTCCAGCGTGTCCCCCGTGGCGTCCCCCACCAGCCCCAAGTCGCTGCTCAGTGCCCCCCGGTTGGGCGTGTTGAGCTGCGGCAGCATGGCGCTTTGCTCCGGCGTCCCCAGGTGTCCCTGCTCCAGCGACTGTAGCGGGCCGCCCAGCACTGGGTGAGGTGACCCCGAGTGCGGCAGGGCCGGGTGCTGCGGCGAGGGTTGTGGTTGGTTTTGGACTTGCGGCGACGGGCTGGAATGTGGCGGCGGCTGTTGCTGCTGCGCAGGCGACTGGACGGGCGCCGGGGAGCGGACCTGGTTGCCGAGGGCGTTGGCCAGTCCTGGCTGGGCAGAGAGGTGGGCGGTGCCTTGAGCTTGGCCAGCCAGCAGGTGGGTCTGGGGGCTCATGGGGCTCGGGTGGGCCGGGGAGCCCATTTGCTGCTTGAGGACGGCCTGCTGCTGCTGCTGAGGGAGTTGCGCCTGCTGTTGTTGCATGCGCTGATGCAACAGGTTCTGCGTGGAGTCCATGCTCATTCCGGGCTGGGCCATTTGAGCCATTGGTGGGAGCTGACCCATAGTTACGCCCCCCGCCCCAGCAGCGCCCGCTTGCTGCATGGCTATCTGCTGCTGCTGCTGCATGCGGATGTGGGAGTACATCGCAGGAGTTCCCTGCTGCTGATTGGGAAACTGACCGAGGTGACCCTGCGGCATTACCCCTTGCTGCTGCGGCTGTTGTTGCTGCTGCTGCTGCTGTTGTTGCTGCTGCTGCTGCTGTCGCAAAAGCTGCCGGCGGTAGAGTTCCTGGATCTGCGGGTTGGTGCTGTGAGCTGCGTTCATCAGCTGCCCTGCGCCCAGCTGGGCCAGCCCCTGCACTGGAGCCTGCTGCTGCTGTTGAGGGGGCATCGCCGCCCTCTGCACCGGCCCACCTTGCATGGCCATGGCCTGCATCGCTGGCATGCCGGGTTGCTGCTGCGGTTGTGGCTGACCAGCCTGCGGCTGCTGCTGCGGCTGGCTCGCGTGGTACTTGGCTGTCCGCTGTTTGATGAAAGCTGCCATTAGCTGCGGGTTGGACTTCAGGATGTTGAGGACCTGCTGCTGCTGCTGCGGGGAGCTTGGGGACTTCAAGGTGCGAAGGAGGTCCTGAAGCGCATTCGGGGGTATGGTGCCTGTTCTCTGGGGGGTTTGCGGCCGCGGACCTGGTTGCGGCGGCATCAGCATCCTCTGCTGACCCTGTTGCCCGGGCGGCATTATGGCTCGCTGGATGCTCATGGCCGGCTGAGGCGTGTTCTGGTTCGGAACCACGCCTGGCTGTTGGTTCTGAGCCGGCATGGGGCCGGTGGCTGCGGGCCACTGCCCTAAAGGGGGCTGCTGCATGACCTGGGGGCCGCGGGGCCCCGCCACCACCTGCATGGTTTGAGCCATGCGCTGCTGCTGCGTCTGCTGGGGGGTCATGGGTAAGCCGTTCATGTTGACCCGGTAGTTCTGCTGGTTCTGCTGTGCCTGCGCCATCATCTCTATGTGGTGTGCCATCTTGATGGCGGCAAGAGGAGCCTGCTGCTGGCGCTGCTGAGGCGACTGAGGGAGAGGAGACTGCTGCTGGTGCAGGGGCGAGGCGTGGGGACCTGGCTTACCCTGCGACACGCTCGCTTGCGGCGGGCCCGCTCGCGGCACGCCGGGGAAGGCAGGGGACATGACGCCTGCCGAGTTGGGCGTGGGCGG